AGTACTGATAAAAAAAAATTGCGAGCATTGATGTGGTTGTGGGATTCGGGAAATATATACAATTGAATCCGGCTCCGGTTCATGAAAATTTCGACTCCGACTCCAAAAAAAATAATTGAATTTTGATAACAGCAATTATTTTCAAAACATACCAAACTTGGCCTTCGATTCTGATTCATATTTTCCCAGGGGAGAGAGAAACCGATATAACGACGAATCACTATCCTATGTCGCAGGGGTGGCCAACACGTAGATCCCGTTCTCGATCGCCCGTTCTCAATCGTCGATCGTTCGTTCTCGAGTAGTCGAGTTCTCGAGTATAGTCGATCGCGTCTGATGTTGAGTGAAATTAATAACATACCAAAGTTTGCTTTGAACCAGTTTCATGCAGCGCATGTTCAAAACAGGAAGAATACAATACTGTACTGTACTCGCACAATGTCAAAATAGGATAGACACATACTTTATTTGAGTTTGGTAAACCCCGAAAACATAAAAAATGCAAATTTTTGTAGTGATTTCAGTAAGAATGCGCCATGGAGTCAAGCTTATTGGTTGCGGTGAAACTTTTAAAAACGTGTCTGTAGTAGTTATCTGCATATTCAATACCCATTTGTTTTTGGCTATGCCCTTAGTACCAACAGTTGATCGCGAGCTATTTTGGTCGGTCGCGGTCGAAAACAGATATAGGTGATATAACTTTCAACAATCTATTAGTACCGATAAATTGAAAATGATTGGTCAATTATATACCATGGTTATATACCATGCCATATATACCATTATATACCATGCAATTCAAGAGTCTTGCTGCACACTAACTCAAATGCATTTTTGTAATGTTTTGTCTGACTAAAGTAAGACATCCTCACTCTTCAGACAAGCAGTTTACAGCAATAACAAGTAAAGATAAATTTCTTATAGGATCATATTTGGATTCGTCCAATCATCCAATTCATCCAAAATCAATAGGCTTCTGGTACGACATATGATGAATGCACGTGCAAAATCTGGAACAGATTCAATCTCGCTTTCGTAAGATATCGCGTGCATCTAACAGACAAACAAGCAGACAAATACCCATCAACATACTTACCGATTAAAATCGATAAGTAATAAATTTCTTATAACTTTATATTCGGATTCGTGGATTATTGAACACATGACTAGAAGAAATTGTGTTTTCAGTCGTAGAAGCTAGAATAAATAATTAAATCGATAATATTTCTGGTAAATGAGTAACTGCAATGCATACAATTATATCGTATTTATCGTATTAAATGTAGCAAAAATATTAACGCAATGAAACTGAGGTTAAATCGATTAATAGGAACCGCTGGGAAGACTTGTCTTTCACTCGACTTGACTAATCATATATCAAAGATTCGAAATGATTTTACCCAAATAAATAAAGCATACCCAGCAGAACAAAACAAAGAAACAACATCTAAAATGGACTTACTCGAGCCAGGTGGCGGTGGACGAACAACTGCTATGATAAAATCAAAGAGCAACGAAAAGAGAAAAATTCGAAAATATCTCATCAGAATATTTGTACAGGTCATTGTGTATGCTGAAGTTTGAATTTATTTATTTAGATAAAAATACCAATGTAACGTCGAATAAGACTATCGAATAAAATAAAACGCCTGTAGAATAAATATAAGAAAGGTCCTCGTGAAAATGTTGAACGCTCGCAAATTTTGGATAGAGGTATGTAGGATGTATGCATGTTTATTTGCCTCAAAATGTAGCGGTATCTGCATAATAAATAAACAGTGTAAAAACGACAGGCTGTCAAATTTTTTACACTCAGACTTAAGGGTCATGCGGTATAAGATCGAAAAATGTTTATGAATTGATAAATGGTCTTAAAAACACTTTTATTATTACAGTTTTTTCGCCCTGACATGAGCAAACTACGGCCCGCGGGCCAAATCCGGCCCGTTAGGTAATTCAATCTGGCCCGTCTGATGCTGCCACAACCAAGGTAAAAGCAAATTTTGATGTTTCAGATCAAAATCGCTCAAGGAATTTGTAGAGATTGCGATTAAACTTATTTTTAGCACGAGGCTTATTGTTTTCCATTTTTCCTCCGTAACACTGTGAATATTGTTCATAAAATGTTGATTTAACATCACACTTACATGGCTTTGAATACTTCAATACAGCGTTCGGCTGTCACTTAGCACTAGATTTCAATCAAAAAGACCTCTATTGTTATATGAGTCTTTTGCTATTTTCGACCACAGATATAAAAAATAATATTTTTTGAATTTTAATACCAAGAAACTACTGTTTTTGAAAGTTGTTTTTAAATTGACGCTTCGTGGCTACCGGGGAACTTTCTCAATTTATCCAACTGCTTCTATTGCATTTTAGTCAATATACTCTAGCTTTCCATGCAATTTCCTTTTATTTCATGCTAGAAATTCACTACATGAAACTGTATTTTTTTTCTTCAATTGAACCTCTACCTGAATCATGATACAAACAAACAACCGATTTTTCAGTTCAATAAGTTTATGTAACCACAATTTCACGAGTTGGTATCTCAGATACCCCCATAGAAACACAATTTTACACACCTTCCAGCTCACTACACAAGTCTTTCTGGTATTATGTTATAAATTGACTATAGATGATCACTAGCGCTTTTCTTGTTGACCATCTAATTTTAAATCCTGTTCAGGATATCTAACATACGTTTTAACAACTATATGCGAGGTCGTAAACAACAACTCGTTTATTCGCTTTGTTAATGACCCAGTTAATACTGTAAGCAGGTCATTCAAGATTACTCGATTAAATAGAGCAAGTAAATCAGGGGTGGCCAACCTTTCACATACCATGCGCCACGTTTTAAACATAATGTTTCAGATGCGCCGTAAATCTCTTGTATTGCCACGCCTAATGTCCGCTTCTTGTTGAAATTATATAAGTTTATAATACACACACATATATACACACGTATATGTAGTTTTTACAATTTACAACTTCACATGAATAGAAATTAAGCAAGGAAGTATAATAAATAAAACTGATCAATTTCATTTAAGTACCGCCTTTATGAGACTTTTGCTGCTGTTTTACTTTCGCCAGTTTTTTTATTCTTGGAGTTAAGTTTGTTACTGAGAGGAGCAGTGCATCCTTCAAATTTAAATCTGTAAGTGTTGACCTCGCTTTGCTTTTAATTAGTTTCATGGCAGAAAATGTTTGTTCACATCTATATGTCGTTCCGAAACGACATATAAAACCCTGGGCAAATTTTCTCAGTTCTGGAAAATTTTCACGGGGTAACGATTGCCAGAACTTGATCATGTCAGATGCACTTGGGACTGAAGAAAGCTCATCAAATTTAATTTTCAATGATGGATGAGTTTTCAAGTCAATTAGTTCCAATTGTATATTGCTTGGCATCTTCATTATGGTTAGTTCACTAAGTGAAAATGGGTTTATAAAAGCAAGTATAGAATCTTCTTCTTTTGAAATATCATGAAAACGACTTTCAAATGACTCTTGCAATAACTTGATTTTTCCTGTGTATATTGCCAAATTGCCATTACCAGCAGCACATTCACGGTGTTCTTTTATGTGAGGAAATTGGGACAAATCTTCTTTTTCCAACTGGGAAACGAAAAGTTTCAACTTCATCTTGAATGCGCTAATGTCATTTACTAAGCTTGGAAATAGTTTGCTTTTGCCTTGCAGTCTAAAATTTAGATCATTGAGATGGTTAGTAACATCAACTAAAAATATTGTGACACAAGGCCTTTAGTATCAATATCTACTCTACTCTACTCTCGATTCTAATTGGCCTTTGCTAATCAGCTGTTTGGCCTAGCGTCGCGTGATTTTACTCCAGGCTTCTTCGAGATTAGTCCTTGCGTCACAGCAAGCGATTTTACGCTTCGCTTTTGTTGACAACGGTCATTTGAAGTTTGGATGAAAAAGGTGGTATTTAGGGGTCATTTTCAGCATGTTGTGGATTGATTTATAATAAATTTTTTAGGCTTGGCCAATTCAACTGGTTGTTCAATGGTTATTGGGAGATATTTGGGAAGTCTGGGCAATGGAAATTCCATGTTTCAAGCTGATAAATGACAATTTTCTATTTTTCCAGAAGTTCTGATCTTTTTACTCCGGTAGGGAAAAATAGTAAATTTTACTAATTTTTGCTAAAAGTCTAGAATGAATGTCATAAAGTCCGTCAAAAAGCTAACGTCGATAATCGCCTGTTGTTTCTAATTCCAACAAGCCGTAAGTGGGTGACGTGGAGTAAAGAGTTTAGGTACAATCAAAAGTCACCATGTAAATCGCAAAAAAAAACGGCTTGGCGTGGAGAAGCCAAGTGCAATTAACAATTTTGGCATGAAAAGGGTTAAAGATGCAATGCGCCACCTCTAATCATGTAATGCGCCACGTTTGGCGCATGCGCCATAGGTTGGCCACCCCTGAAGTAAATAATAATTAAGTTGAAGTGAATTTTCTCTCGGTCAATGTAAGAGAGATAAAACATTCAGAAGTCGGAAAGTATTGCAACAAATGCATGTTACCTGAAGCATATACCCCATATTAAAAACAGAAGAGCTTACATATATAACGCGATATTCGTATTTTTCCATGTACGCCAATTTATAGTATTATGAATTGCTTTTGCTTTGCACATATTACTCCCTTTCCCTTGCATGAAACCATACTGTGTTGAATGGGAATATATATTTATATTTTAGAATCTCCGATTCAAAGTTTTAACAATTGATTGCGAAATCGTATAAACAGACTCGTTTATTTGTTTGTTAATGATCTAATTGGCGGTTTCAGCATGTCATTCAGGGTACTTGACGAGTGAATAGAGTGAACAAATGATGATCAACTCGAAATTCATTTTCACTTGTCTTATATAAGAGAAAGACAACACAGTCCAAAATCAAGGAATATTGCAACGAATGAAAAGTAGAATAGAAGTATTTACCTGGACTTGATACATTCCGTAACGATTGTTATTTCATTAGAATATATTATTACCCATAACAGAGATACACAATAATAAACACACATACATATACATAATTGCGTTATAAATTACAATAAAATAGGGTTGTCCAATAATATAATCTTTTTTTTTCAGTTAATATAGTAACAAATGTATGGCGATGTGGCGCCACCTACCGGATCATGAATAAGTCAATCCGTCAATCCATCATCGGCATTGTAGCTGCAACACAAAGCAAAACGAAGTTTCAAATCGTTTAATCACGATTTTCCCCAAACAAAGATCCATGTCTTGGATTTTAGTGTAGACATGAAAAATTCTATTCAATTCAAGAGACTTGCTGCATACGGAAGCATGCGCATTCACCAGCGTTTCTCAAGCATGCAGGGGATCTTCCCTGCGAAGGAATCTTATTATTTTAGGGGACAATATTGGCGCTCAAGAAGTGTGTGTACCAATATGGAAGTAACTAATTTTGTTCGCCTACTTCAAACCAAGCTCTGTAAAGAGACTGAAACCTATAGGGGAATATTAATTTGGCCAACACAGACAGTCACTGAACTCGTAATAGAACTAAAATAAGGAAATTCGGAATAAAATTATGGCCTGAACTTAACCTGGTACACAAACTACGAGAGTACCGAAAACTGTACTTCGGGTTTGCATTAATAATATTTTTGATTGTTTAGCATTTTTGTACATTTCTACACACATTGTAAACTGCTCAAATTTTATGAAAGATCATCGTGCTAGTGGCATGGGCACTAGCTAATACAGCGTGTCCATAAAGTTCCTTCGCAATTTCAATATATGTTAACCAGGTTTGTTGTTTTTTAATCAGTAAATGTTTAAATATTTTTCTTCATTTAGTATATATATATGTGTAGGACAAAACAATATATGGTATCGATCAATTTCCTTTGCAATTTTAAAAAATTTCAAGACTTCATGGACACCCTGTATTATATTGAACGTTGCGAAAAAATGAAAATATAACTTTTAGGCAAATATAGTAATAGGAGAATGAAAACTAACTTGATATGTATATACAACAAAAATATAAATGCAATGAGATTAAGACGTTACTCTTCCCTGTATATATAAACGACTAGATAGCAACATACTTGCCCATAAAAACCTATTCAAGCACAAGTAAAAATACTCACTTAATGAATCTGTTTTGTGCCGGCGCTGGCGGTCGCAAATCAGCTAATGTTCCAGCAAAAAGCATCATCGCGATCATCAAATATATCACCAATATTTTCATGTCTGCCATTTTTAGTTTTCTAGAAAACAAATGTTTGAATTCACTCAGAAGTTCAAGAGGCTTGCGGGATACTAATAAAGTACTTTTGTTGCGTTTCGTCAGCGAGATTCAGAATAGTAAATGTATACTTGCTACCACATCCTTGCATTATAGTTAGTCTCGTGCAACCTCAACTAATAGTTAAAATAAACATTTTCCCCTGAGTTATCACTGAACTCATTGGCTATTTTCGAATTTTTCAACGAGTGTGGGTTTGAATTCTGCTGTGAATACAATGTACAACATAATTGCAGGAATTTTTCCCGCTTTGAAAATTACGCATAAAATGGTTGATTCCAAAAAATTTTCAATATAAAATTCACGTCTTGGCACAATTTATTTGGTTATTTAGTTCAATATCCGATATTCATCAGTGATTATAAATATTACTGTACTACTTTAATGTCTTGGTTTAATGCATTTTGTCATATCGGCCTTATGATACCTTACACAAATCTGCGACAGCTATACGCACCATCAAATAATAATAATGATAATACTCAAACTCTATTTAAAATACAAGTGCATACTTACTATTTAGTAGTTCAGCTTATCGTGATGATGTGTTTTGCCTCTCGTGTCTCAAATTGAATAAATCTCAATCGCCCCAATCTGCCTGTAAAAGTTTACAATACTAACGCTCTTCCTGTTTGTAACAGAATTGATCCCGCAGTCATTTTCCGGTTGCTTCAATTAATTGCATTTGGTATTCTCTGCACAAGTATGATGAATACAAAATAAATTTCGTCTGTGCTGTTAATCTGTTGAGAGTTTTAATTTGCACTTCTTCAAGACTTGCGATTATCGGTATTTTCTCGTTCATAATGCACTCCACAATTCTTAAATGATTTCAGTTGCTCTTGGTATTTTAGAGCCCGTTACCTTTCTTTACTTCTGACCATGTGTTTCTAATGCATCGCAATTTATGTACAAGCTTGTCAAGCTATTCGCATTTCAGTGTTAACCCGTTACTTCGCTTACGAGGGCGCGAGGTTTTCAAATTATTCAATGCCCAGCAACATGGCCGTAACCGAGATAATGGACAATGAATTCTTCATGCTATTAAACATATCATAACGTCATCTTTTGTATATTCACTGGTACTAACTGCACAATCGTTTGCTGTACCACGCACTGTCTAATAATATGGGTGTAAGCTGTTGCCATACTCAAGCTTCGCTAAATGAAGCGATTTGCCGTCTCTTCTCTTATTCAAAAATAATGAGTCGCCTATCCATTATTCAGTCGGAAACAGCTAGACGGTTTCTTCAGAAGATTTACATACTGAGGCTCACTTGTTTGGTTTTCGCAAGAGGACCAAAGGGCGCTGGAATTTGAAATAAGTCTAAATCCTAACTTGATATGGATATATTATTTTATTGGACAAAAACTTGATATATGGAATATTAACTTACTGACCAATCGATTTTAGTATTTTCAGTATTTGAATGGTGAAAGCCGCTGGAAGACCTTTTATTTTTTTTCAAATCCCCCCCGATTCCTAGGGGCCATGCTAAACTGGAAGAGGTAGTCACAGCTTACGCACCAGTGACTCTAGAGCAGGGGTGGGCAAGATTGTTAAACAATGTGCCAAAACAACTTTCGCCCACCTAGACCGACGGGCCATGTGAGTGTGACGTAAAAAGTTACATTTTATGAACAATATTTACAGTGTTACAAAAGTAAAAGGGGAAAACAATAAGCCTCTCGTCACAACTAAACTTAATCGCAATCTCAACAAATTCCTTGAGTTAAATTTAAGCTAAAACATCAAAATTTGGTTTAATTGTGGCAGCATCAGACGGGTCAGATTGAGGTACTCAAAGGGCCGGATTTGGCCCTCGGGCCGTAGTCAGCTCCAGAGCCTAACCTCGTTTGGAGCGCAAGCGCGTAAATAATGGTCTTGTGTGACTCTAGCTACAGTGGCGGCGTGTGCAACATTTTTTCGGTGGGCAATACACCCAACTTCAGATTTCAAGCAAGACAAAAATTCGGTATACCGTGTACATAACAAATTACAGTGATAAAGGCGCCGGGTAAACGGCGAAAGATTAAATGCAGCGACAAGAGTAAAAAAACATTTTGTATTTTTACCTATGTTAGAGTCTTTTCAAACCTAAACTGTCGGATTAAGATTTTATAATTGATGGGGGGAATATCTAGGTGTTGACATGGGTCACACTAAATGAATTGGCTCTTTTGGTTGTGGCCCGTGGGCCACCTGTTGCACACCTGTGGTCTATTCTTTTTGAACAATGATTGTTGTCAAAATTTCGAGTTCGAATTCTATGCGCATCTCTTCACCCAATAATTTGGGTTGCCCACACCAAACCAAAAATTCCGGTCTTTCCGAAAGAAAATAACTCGTATAAAAAGTGTATAACAGTATAAAATGTTCTAAAATAATTCTTGAAATCTTGTCAAGTTTTCTCAATAAACAGCTACCGTGTTTCCCCGAAAATAAGACTGGGTCTTAGTTTTAATTTTCTTCCGGCTTAATTCCGGGAGATGTCTCATATTTTCAAAAATCTAAAATAAAATTACAAAGTAGAGACTTACGAGATAATCAAATATACAAAAAATGAAAACGATATCCATCACTTATAAATAAAACATTTTTATTCAAAATAACTGCAAACTATAGATAATTTATCATTGAAAACGTGTAGGAGAGATTTCTTGCATATCGACAAAAAAAATTCGCGTTATTGATTAGGTCTTATATTGAGGGAAGTGCTTATATTAAAATCATTTTTAAATTTCAGGCTTGGTCTTAATTTCAGGGTAGGTCTCATTTTCGGGGAAACACGGTAGATATTTTGTTTACTATTAAACTTGTTTTCCTTATTACAGCAACAGACAGTAAGAATTAACTACTGGATGCTGATATATGTGTTTCCCTTGTTCGTAATTGATATGACTATTGAAGATCCATAAGGGACAACCCCCCTTGTGCAATTCAATAATTTCGAAACGTTAGAATTACCGTGTATTGTGTGAATGAATAAAATAATAATGAAACTTTCTTGTCAAAAATTGATAAAGTTTATGTTGCAAGTTTAATGTTAAAAATTCTAAGATGGACGTTCAGAGTTTGGAAAATTAATGGTATACCTAAGTGTTTTGAACATTATTAGATTTTTGACCAGTTTTCCCGATTTCCCAATCTTCTGTGTTTCAATATGATTTTAATGGGAAATCAAAATGGACGAATGTTGCAAGTTTTAGTTTTGAATTCAGTTTGATAAATTAAATATTTATTGTCTTAAATTAATAGTAAAAAAAATTCTTGTGCACGACATTTGTTGAAATAATGTTGCAAGTTTTATTCTCAGGAAATATTGCCTATTAAAAATAGCTCACTCGGTCTTGGCAATATCGCTATTCGTTAACAAAACTTGCATCTCTTTGTGGTTCTCGCCTATCTCGCGCTTTACGCGTATTTTCACTTATGCTTCCGCAAAAGATAGACTAATTTCATTATAGAAAAGCCCCTCATATGTAAGCGAAGTAATGGGTTAACTTGTAAAATGCGAACAGATTCCGAAACTTTAGCATTAGAAACACTGGGCATGGTGCTGGGCATTGAATACATTTTCTTTTAATAACTCGTTGACACTGAAATGCGAATAGTTTTAGAAACTTGTGCATAAATGGTGATGCACTAGAAACACTTACCCAGAAGTAAAGAAACGTAATAGGCACTGAAATGCCAAAAGCTACTAAAAAATGACTGAAGAATTGTCAATTCTCTTACAGACAGGAAAAGCGTGCTGCAAACTTATACAGGCAGAAAAGGGTGTTGAAATTTAATTAGATTTATACAGTTTGGAACGCGAGAAGATTGACACTTCTGCACGCGAAGCTGAACTACTAAAATTGTATGTATATATAATAAATATTGATCATAATCATTATTATTATTTAATAGTGCGTATAACTTTAGTGGTTTTGTATATCAAGAGTATAGTTAGGCCGATTTGACGATATACATTGAACCAAGACTTTAGAATAGTATATACCCGTATAGCATTATAATCACTAATGAATATCGGGTTTTGGTCTATTTAGCCAGCTAAATTGTGTCGGGACGAGAACGTTGATTGTAAAAAAATCTGGGATCGATCAGTAGATTCAAGCGCAATTTCTTGAGAAGGGGGAAAAATTCCAGCATTTATTTTGTAGGCTATATATTCTGTTCATTTCGAAATTCAAACCCGCACTCGTAATATTTGCAAATAGTCAAAAAATTCAGCAAAAATCCAAATATATATTGGAACTCTTAGTTGGGGTTGTGCGAGATAAAATATAATGCAAGAGTGTTGTGGTAAGAATAAATTCTAAATCTCTGTCAGAAGAAACGCTACATAGGTAATATTTTATTAGTAGCATATCCAGCAAGACTCTTCAAATTCTTAGTAATTTTAAACTTTTGTATTCTAGAAAAATAAAAATGGCAGCATGAAGATATTGGTGATATGTTTGATGATCGCGATAATGTTTTTCCACTGGGACAATAGCTGGGATGCGACCCCCACTATCAGGGTTAAGCGGATTATTACATTAAGTTTATATATATATTGGATTTCGAGAAACAAAGTATTCCGTTCTTTGCTCGTTTGGATATATTGGAATATATAACGTGATATCCCAATTGTCTGTGTGTGCAATATAGTTGGTCGTATGTGTATAATGAGATTGATGTGTATGCATGTAAAGTTGGTTGTGCATGCATATTTGGCTTTCTGTATATGCACATTTGACTGGCTGTATATGCGTATTTGACTACTGGTTCTATATGCACACAAAGTTTAATGTATATATATATATATACGCATACTTGATTGAGTGTATAGGAATATTTACCTAAATATATGCATTTCAATTGTCTTCATATTTTTATTCAGTTGACTGCACTTGCTTATGAGTTAGCCATATTATGTATTTCAGTTCCAGGCCACGTCGCTTTATGGCCGCCAGGGGGCACTGAATGGATTTGATATTAGTATTTATTATTACCTTCTAGATGGGCGACTGGCTACTACCTAATAAGCTTATTTGGGTGCAATAGCACATCGTTTATTTTGACCCTTCTGTTGAAACTCAAGGTTAAAAAACGAAAATTATGAAAGAACTTAATGGACAAGACATCCAGTTATTTTGAAACTCCCCGAAAAGTTTTCGCCGTCATATATCTCTCCTATCTTCATATCTGCGAGTTAATTTTCAACTTGAAAATTGTGATAACTTGGAAATGCAACTCATGGCTTTTTTCTCTCGCATGCTACAAGGTTCAGAACTCAAACACCCTTCAATAGAGAAGGAAGCAAAGGCCATCATTGAGGCTGTTCGTCATTGGCGTCACTATCTCACTTGTAAACATTTCACTCTTATAACAGATCAGAGATCCGTATCATTTATGTTCAATCGAAATCACAGAACAAAGATTAAAAATGATAAAATCATGCGATGGCGACTAGAACTCTGCTGCTATAGTTTTGACATTCGTTATCGTCCTGGGCAAGAAAATATTCCCTCTGATGCACTTTCAAGAATATCGTGCGCAACTGTACAAGATCCCGAAAATCATCTTTTGTATAAACTTCATGACGCTCTGTGTCATCCAGGAATTACGAGAATGTCTCACTTTATTCGAGTCAGGAATTTGCCATATTCGATGGATGACATTCGAAAAGTTATTTCAACATGTCCTGTTTGTTGTGAATGCAAGCCGCGATTTCATAAACCTGACACCGGGCACCTTATCAAAACTACACAGGCATTTGAACGTCTCAATATAGACTTTAAAGGACCTCTACCGTCAAACAATAATAATCGATACTTTCTGTGCGTAGTCGATGAATTTTCGAGATTTCCATTTGCATTCCCATGTCCAGATGTTTCCACAGCAAGTGTCATTAAATGTCTCACGCAACTATTCACTACATTTGGAATGCCTGCTTTTATACATTCAGACAGAGGTTCTGCTTTCATGAGTCGAGAACTTCGCTCTTTTCTCAATGACAAAGGTATTGCAACAAGTCGCACCACACCATATAATCCTGCAGGAAATGGACAGGTTGAACGTTTTAATGGCACGATATGGAATGGGGTGAAGTTGGCGCTGAAATCGAAACGTCTTCCTGTTCAATTGTGGCAAGAGGTTTTGCCTGATGTTTTGCATTCCATACGGTCGTTATTGTGTACAGCCACCAATGAGACTCCTCATGAGCGAGTTTTCAAATTCTCCAGAAGAAATACGTCTGGATGTTCTATTCCATCCTGGATGTCAACGCCGGGACCAGTGCTTTTGAAAAGATATGTCAGGAAGTCGAAAACCGAACCTTTAGTAGATGAAGTCGAGCTTCTGGAAGCAAATCCACAATATGCTCATGTTCGATTTCCAGATGGCAGAGAAACAACTGTAGCCTCAAAACATCTGGCCCCTGTCGGTTACGAAATTTCGATGAATAGGCAAGGGACAGACAATATCAACCATGAAACACCATTGCACGTTAGAGACGGGTCTTCGATTCAACCTATGTCTCCATCTATCAATCAAGGAAACAATAAAACTCAAACGCAAGAAGATATTGTTGAAAATAATATTGTCTCTAGATCTCCATCGCCTCCAGTTCTAAGGAGATCAACCAGGGAACGCCGATCCGTGGACAGACTAAATCTCTAAAGTGGCGGTGAATGTGATAACTTGGAAATGCAACTCAATGTATCTATTTGTTTATACAGCTGCAGTCAAGCGATGATTGCTGTGGCGTTTTAAATCAGACACCAATCATTGCTGTGCTGTAGATGTAGTGTGTTAATTCTTTCAACTTTATTCATTTAACTATTGAGCCGCTTACTGATAGCATCAGCAATTCGATACGTATTTGTTTTCTTGTTTAATAACATTTGCTTGTGTTATATTATTTTAGATTCATTCTAAGAGTGCTTTAAATTTAAGTTGAATAAAGCCTTATATCAAGGTACTATATTTCTCATTCATTACAAAAATAACATAGAACACCAAGATAAATTGGATCCGACCATATAACACAGAAAAAAAGAGTGAACGCGTAAACTAAGGCCGGTAGTAAAAATCTTGTTTTTGCAGTACTTCCCAAAATACTACAAATCTTGCTAAATAGTCAACGCCGAGCCTGAAAGCTTACAGCTAACCATTCTATATGTCTATTCTATGATCCACAACACAATCCAACTTTTTGTTTGAGAAGAATATGAAATGAACGATTACAAAACTATTTTATAGTTTTTAACTTCGTTTTTTGTTGCAGCTACGAAGGCGATACAGAAATTGATGATTATGTATCTCTATGATTCGGCAGATGGCGCTATATCTCCGCCAAAAATGGTACCCATGGGAACCAAAATAAAACCTGAGATAATAGACGACTCCTATTGTATTGTACTTTACAACATGATTGTGTATATGGGCATGATCAATTTCTAAAATATTTTCACACGTGTAATAATGTGAGCTCTTATGCGCACGGGAAATCAAGCTTTATATTGTGAAATAACTCGTATTTTATTATACATTCTAACGAGATTGTGTATATGTACATAATAAATTTTATATATTTATTATATGTGCAGTAACGTATTCTAAGGATAAACAGTCGTTGAAGACTAGCTTGTATACAATTTAAGTTTTGAGATTGATTTGAGATTGTATCTGTTCAAAATTTCTCCAAATACTAAACTCGTTGAAGCTCAATCACCTCATTAAAAAACACCAAAGATTAGTCCACCAGTTTAATATGCAATAAAATTGGTTTGTACTTTATGTTTTATTACATGAGATCTACCTATTATACTGACTTTGTTTAAAAGACAAACTAACTCGACGCAGATGAGTTATTATTATACTTCCCAATTCTGTAACTGTAATACCATTCTAAACAGAAAAGGCAGAACAAAAAGTTGTTGACAAACTGCTTTATACCATGGTGACAAAAATGGCAGAAGCAAATTGGCAAAAACACGTGGTTTGGTGTGTGCAGTTATACTACAATAGAATAGTTTGAAGTGTTTTTTTCAATACATTTGAGTGACATATTTTTTTAAGTTCAGCACGAAATGCTATTTTTCAAAGTACTTTGTATTTTTATAATAATAATAATAAAACAATTATTGCATTGCTGCGGAACGATACTGGTGTATAAAGTACCGTAAAGGGCGACCGTACAAATAAGTTTGAAAACGGATTTAAGTAGCCTATAGCGTTGGATAATATTTTGCCTCATTTAGAATGAATTTGTTCAGAATGTTTGGGCAATGACAGCTTTAGGTTGTTGGATCATTATTAAAGTTTCATTGATAGAACCATGTGTATAACGTATTGTGTTTATATTTTGTAACATGATACTTTTCCCACCATTGGCCCCGAAAAACTTTCTTCATGCCTTACCATTATAATATTTGGAAATGCTACGAAAGTGGACTTCCGTAAGGCGAAACTTTCGCAAAACTCAAAAAACACCTTTAATTTTAGAAGAATTAACATTAAAACTACTGATGACTAATTACCAGACTTGTCCATGGGACATATTTTTCTGTCCCATTCCCATCCCATCCCATAGCAATTATGCCGGTCCCATCCCATCCCATGGGATTCCCATTGAAACGGAATTTAATAAAAATTGTTAAATTTAGGTTTAGCGTCTACTAAATAGGACTACATGTACGAAGAGACATGCAAAACAACCGAATTTACGGACTTTATATTCATAACTATCATACATGTGTCGATCAGCCCCTTCACGAAGTATATTCATTAGCTGAATATATTTTCATAACTAACAAGAGAGCTCAAATATATGGACACAAATACACAGATAATAGTTGGACTATTTCATTAATGTCCAAATCCTAAATAACTCATAAAAGACATCAAAGAGGATGCTGAGGATGTTTACAAACAAGCAAAAGTTTTTTTAAAAAAATGAAAGTGCCTGAGCGTTTGGCTTAATTTCGAGTTTTGCGCTTCGTACAACTTTTTGGCAAATAGACTTTGTTGCAAAACTCAATAAGAAATTGGCGATCCGAAAGTATGTGTACCAATATGGAGGTGACTAATATTGTTCGCCTACTTTACATCAAGTTGTGCAAAGGGACTGAAACCTATGGGCAGGGGATATATTCACTTGGCCACCACAGACAGTCCCCGAACTCGTATAGAACTAAAATAAGGAAAATCGGAATAAGTTTTGGCCTAACTCTAACCTGGTACACATACTACGGGAATGCCAAGGAATTGGTGTTCAAGTCAACATTCATTGCGAGGACTCAAATGCTAATATTGAGTAATGCCCAATTATTGCATATAACTTATTACGCGTAGTGCAAAAAATATGTATATTGTGGCGGCTTATACTATTTTCGCCGTTTACTACGTTTTTATATTAAACCGCAACGCTATACATCGATGCCATTTTGTATGACCACCACATAAAGCGCTAAAGAGCAGATGACATTTTAAAGCCATCTCTATTTTACATAAAATTCAGTTCAACCACGACTAACCTAAAATATAAGATAACGAATAATATTAAAGATCTTTCTCATTATCGTCTATGGCATTGCTATTGGACGTTAATTATACAGAGACAATATTCAGAAGAAAGATCAATTTATTTCACTCGAGAATAACTACCAAAAACAAAACACAAATTTAGATTATTAGTTTACAAAATTTCATAATACAGCATTTTAAATACATTTTTTATACCGGGCGAAACAAATTTTCCTTTGCCCGCTCTAACCCGGACTGCAGAGTCGGTTTTGCGGTTATAAGAGAAACTCAAACTATAGTCGGAAGATTGAGGATGTGAGGATGTTTATACTTTCGAATGTGGTAAATGCAGTTCAGAACTTTTCTATACACAAACTAGAACAAATCGAAAAAATTTATCCCACACTGGTTTGAATAAACAAACATTTCTTTACAGAGCAATAAACCCTAGTTATGTCTGTTTTTTCGCAGTCGGGAGCGGGGATCTTATGTTCCAGGTAATATTTAAAATAATAATGTTTAAGCCTTTACGGTAGAATAAACATATAAAGGCATTGAAAACGATATTTCTTATTTACAATAGAGCATGACCTAACAGTGAATGGAGAATGTGCATCTGAACAGAATAATAGTAAACAAATAAAATTTAATCGAAATACCCAGGTACTTACTGAACATTTCAAAAATTAAAAATTTTAAAAATTAACAATCTATTCATGACAATTTCATGCCTTCTGTACAGGAATATTCTGATTTTGTGCACAATGTGGTAGCATGTGTTTAAGCCGTCGTATCAACCTCTACACGAATAACAATGGTGTCGTTTTTCACGTAGGAGCTTCCATTTATATCATCCTGTGCAACAAACTTTGGGAATCCAGAAGCCATATTCATATCTGAAGTCGGTTTCTTGAACGAACTCGATGTTGGATCTGGTCGAAAAACATCCAGCAAATGTTGTTGATCTGGTCCCTGATCAAGAAGCATCAGCGTCACCTAGGAATGGAGGAAAAATAATATCGTATATTGTATCACATATTGCTATTCCGATATTTCTGCTGTTTTCTAAAGTTTATGTTATCATTTAAATAAATATTATACAAAATCCAGAATGTTCTATACAGAGCAATATCATATGATGATGACGATACAATACCACGAATGTCAAATATCTTAATGCATACATGATAAGTTAAAAGGGTTTCACAGAGTGCATAGGTTATTTCCATAAAAGATTACAAAATGGATTCATTATCTTTGATACATACCTTTTGGCGAAAAGGAAAAGATAGGAGTTCGTCGTGTTCTCCCTTCATCAGAATGAAGAATAACGAGATGTGAGTGTTTTTTCCTAAAAATATAAAGTCACAATTTTATAATACATTCACCATGTTGTCTTTTCACTAATTTTAGATGTTTTGAATTCAAAATCTGGCGACGTAAGTCTAAATTCAGAGGGAGTAACTTAATCAAGTTCACATTTTTGATGTAAACTCGTAGTTGACATCTTTCCATATATTTCATGACTAGTAATTAAAGATTGAAGAATGAAATGAATCGAAAACACATGTATAGTACCGACCTTGACCATATGAGTATTATATATATGGACATTTAAGTTTTATTATGCAAACTAACTCACCCATTCCGTCTCCGTTTAAGTAGACCCTCAGACACATTTTATAACCGTGTGGTGATGTATAAAACGGTTGACTGTATATCGAAAGAGCTCGAATTCGTTTTGCATCATCTCGATGCCGCTCAAAATCACGAATCTTCCACACAAGCTTACCATCGCAATTGGTTGTTTCCAAAGCCTAAAGACATTATAACGTAATACGGGAATATGTCTGTGTATTCAAAATAGAAAATAAAATGACGAGTGTTTCAATAATGCCATTCGGTGTTGCATATCTAAAAATTCAGCGAATGCGCGGCAACATAGTTCGAACAAAAATAGAATATATATGCTTTAATTTTATTAAAATAAAACGAATTACATTATTTACCAAAAAATTTAATGTTTGCTTTCAAGGACATAATAACTTTTTGATTTTGACAAACCTGAAATCGCAAATCCATTTCTGCAAGGTTAACAGCATATGTTCCTAATTGCCGCTCTAATGCTTGAAACATTTCGTTCAAGTTGTCTAGAAAATGAAAATTAAATATTATAATTAAAAATGTGAAAAAATAATGTAATCAATGTTTCAAAAATAATTTACATAAATTATTTCAAATATTAATTTCATAGGCTATTATACTTTCACAAACGCAGTGATTCGAGCTAACATGCCTGATTCGGATCATTCATTAGTTCTACAGCATGCAACGAAATAAAAGTGTCTGTCTTCATTATAGATCTTTCAGTGTGATGCACTCATTTTGCATGACTTTTAAATCATTTCTTTATTGAATATTTAAAAAACCAATTGTACACTACCTGGCACGCTTGGATTTGCTACTTCACCGCCCTGTGCGACACGCGTACGCTCCTCCGACTGTCTCATCAGAGTGACCACAGCGGTTTTTATTGCATCCGTATCCGTTTTCATCGCTCTAACTTGCGCCCTTGTTGTTGCATTTTCATTCGCTTCCATAGAAACAATTCTCTTAAAAAATAGAATTCATGAAGTATGACCACGGGCTCTCAACAGCTTTTTGCTGACCCAAAGCCACAAACCAATAAAAAAGATTATGGCCCATGCAAGTGGCTTCCCATCAGTGCAACGTCTAATAGCCATATACGCTGGTTACGTTGCCCTTGCTGAATATGATTTATGTGTTTGAACCTGGTGTTCAACTCTTCAAATAGGGTAAAATGGATTGTATATACAGAATCGGAAATGCATCGTTTTTACCTTAAGTTTTTTTTGCATCCCCTTTAACGCGAAACAAAAGCACCTTCAGACAATCTTTTTTAGTTATGCTTCATTGTTTGTATGCCTTACCTGAAGATTTGTAATTATTGTATACACTTGGTTTCTTTGATTTGCTGTGATCGTCTGGTCATTATGAAGTTCTTGTACCCATCGTCGAAGTTGCACAAATTGATATTGTTCTTCATTCTGAAACGAAATTAAACATTTCTCATTATAAGAAAACCATACAATAGCTTAAATACGATATAAAAAAACAACAATTGATTTACCTCAGAAAAACAGAACCTAAAAGACAGACGGGATCATGAAAAGAATTGATTCTTCACATGTACCATTTTAAATGGGTATTTAATTGTAATTTAATTCAAAAATAACACAGCCACGATAGAAAATGAAAAAAAAACAGAAACGCCAACTATCAGCTTTATTAATATCTTCATCATGATAATATTGTTCAGTTAAAATTGGAACCGTGATTTACAAACTATGAAAGATTAAATCCGAAGCAAACGATAAAAATCAGAATATAATTCATCTGTGTTGTGAATACACTCCTTAATAATTGTCTTTAACATCTGTCGCCGATGTGAACCCACAGTTTTGCCTGTAATATGAAAACCAAACTTCAAGGTCTCCTTGCGTGAAAAAAATTGCATGTGAATAAAATGCAACGTGCTTTAACTTATCTTACACAAATTGGGATGTCGGCCGCCGAAACGATCGCTGTATCGACAATACTCTTTATTCTCTTTATTCAGTTATTCGGTATTCCTTAAAAACATTCGTATAATTTCGATAAAAAAAAATTGTCCACAACTATCATAACGCCACTGACATCCGCGAGTTGTACTCTCAAAATTAATTTATACGGTTTTCATCGTTTTATGTCAAAACACGGGACTTAAGAAACAGTTTCTTATGAAATAGATTGATATTTTTGCGACACACTCAAAATTAGTTTGGGAACCACTGGCATATATAATTCGTTTATTTTCTATAACTCAGGGGTGGGCAAGGTTTTAAGATCTGGGGACAGAAATTGTGCCCATCTAGACTGGCAGGCCATGTATGTGTGATGATTTTATGAACAATATTTACAGTGTTACAAAAGCAAACGTGGCAAACAATAAGCCTGGTATCGAAACTAAAATTATTCGCAATTTCAATGTATTCCTTGATTTATTTTCAGCTAAAACAGCAAAATTTGGTTTTAGTTTTGTTGTGGCAGCATCAGGCGGGCCAGATTGAATTACCCAATGGGCCGGATTTGACGCGCGGGCCGTAATTTTATCATGTCAGTTCTGTACTCATGTTGTTTCGATACTGTCAAAACTTAATTTTGTTCTCGTTTAACTCGTTTGTGCAAGGCATCGGAATGCAAGTATTTTTCACTGGTCCTGTAACATTCACGAAAGTGAGATTACGTTTGTTTCTCTCCGTCAAATAATTAGCTCATTTATAAAACAATAAAGAATGGACAACGTGACATGGTTACCGCCGACTACAGGTTAAAGGTCAACGATTAGTAGATTCTCGAAATATGATGAGCAAGAAATTGAACAAACGACGTCTGGCCAAGGGAGGCGAGCTACATGCAACTCTGGAATTTATTCAACAGCGTTTCGCTACGAAAGACACACAATTTTAGGACGCATCATTTTTAGTTCCTCAAACGCCTTACGGCGACGAGAATTGCACTTTTGCCGCACTGTTTTCATTTTAACGTGACCCCTCCTTTTGAAAACCTGACTTCTCCAACGGTTCTAATCTACTGAAAATGTTAATTCTTTTGTTTGACCTATTGTATATGTGGCAAACTGATACTCCTCTGCAAGTGAAATCATTCAAATGAAGTTTGGGATGAAGTTTGGGAAGTTTTGAAATTTGGGTATATCCGCCCATGTTCCTAACATGATCCATCTCAGTTATTTAGCCTACAATAAAAAATATTACTAACCTCGAAATTGCCGATTTCTGATGAATCCGATAAAGGTGGCATTGGGCCGGTGAGAGAAACATGGCTTGCATCTCGTTCTTCTGACTGAAAAGGGTTATACAGGGATGTAAAATGAAAAACAGCTGTGTACATAAAATGCCAAAAACGAAAAATGCTCGAAAAAGTTGAATTGAGAGACGGAGAGGGATTACTATTGAATTTTTTGAATGATTGGATGTTTTCCAATAGCTTTGACATTTTGTTTTTTCCCATAACATTGGCTAATTATCAAGATGTCAACGGTAGCGCAACTCTATAAAAGTATATCAGTTTTTATGGCACGGATGTAAACACTGGCTCGTTTTTATGTCAGTTTCAAAATTCAATCGTCGTGTTTTCGGAATTTAATCGAATATCTCTGGTCATTCATTATTTTTATGCTTTTTAGTTCTGTTGAGGTTACTAAAATCAGTACTGCAAAAGCTGAGATAGACAAAACTAAGATTTTCCATCTATTCATCTGAATGTGCGACGGATGAATAATTTAAAATTATGGTACACACACACTACGGGAGTACACATCTTCATTCTTGCTACAACATCTTTGCGTTATAAGCTTGGAGGTTCAATAGAGCCAGGAATGGTATTAAATTTTGCGTAACCCTAACTGATAGTATCATAATAATTTGAAAAAAAAATTTTTCCAAGAAAGACCAATTTTTCCACCGGAACCGGATTATTTATTCTTTCATTCAGGCTTACCTGAAATCGAAAATCCATTTCTGCCAGCCTAACCTCATACGTTACTAATTGCCTCTTTAATGCTTCAAACATTTCGTTCAAGTTTTCTAAAGATAATAATTCATTTTTATAATTTGAGCTTTCTCAAAAACAAATAATATGTATCGTTACATTTTCTCATGATTATGGATATTTTGAGTCTTGGTCATTTTTACGTATTTTCCGTATATATATATATATGATTAGTTGCAAAAATGTAGTATACGCTCATTGCCCCTTACTAACGGCACTACCGCTCTGGTACTTGAATGCAAGAAGTCACAAGTCTATTACTTTTATTTTCCAAATTTTCCATGCGTACTGATTGGGCACGATGTTTCACCAAAAAATTCTTTCTTTCATTTTGATAAGAGAGTATATTCATGCTCATAAATGGCTCCTCGCTAAGGTATTAATTTATTAAGTGTTTAATATTAGCTTAGTAGGTAACCAGTTGTTTGTTTCAGATGCATGGGCTTGATCGAAGCCTACCGTGTTTCCATCACACATTCCATATTCACATAAATTTTTGACAAACTTTGTGCTCTGAAACCAATTTTTATAGTAACCGTGGACAATGATTCGTCCCCATAAATTAGAGTATTGCTTTTCTGCATACACGATAAACTTCTAGTGTCTAAGGGATGTTGCCTTTTTCCGAACCTAGTGCTAATATGGCCTACGTACCGGTAACGATGAGCGACCTTCTTGTCTATACATGTGACCATCGCACTCTTGCTTACCTGGTAAATTTATATTCGCACTCCCACCTCCACCACGTCCAGAATGTCTGATTTCTTCTACTTGGCTCATTAAATTTTCCATCGTTGTCTTCACGCAAGCGAGATCTACTCCCATTACCTCAATAAGTGCCAGAGTTGTCGCATTTTTATCCGTAGTCTCTTTTTGTAAATTTTTGTTCGTGTCGGCTTGTACAGCAACTATTTTCTGTTCATAGAACAAGATATATTTGTGAAAAAGAAAAATTGCAAAGTCCATCAAGAATCCGAGGTTTGAAATACGAAAAAGGTTTAATCTCACTCCACACTACAACCATTCAAAAAATGACATTTTAACCCTGCTAAGAATAATTTCTCTTTAACACCTGCTTGTCTATAGCCTTCCTTGGTTTAGATTACAATGTGTAACTTATATGAGACTAATGTCGGATGTGCTGGCGTCGAAGATGATATCCATCGGATTAATCAGCCTCCGCCACCTATGAACGTGGGTCAAACGAATTGGATATGAAGAACTACAATTGTATATCCTAAACCTATTAGCTCTTTTCGTATCAGGGGTTTTATTTTCATTATTTCTTCATCAAATATTTTCATTTTCCAAACCTTCACTACGAATGTGTCGAAGACGAAAACATACAAGTATGTTTTCATGTACTTTTGCTCGTTTTTCTTGTGTTTATGTAAGTCTAAATATATAAACATCAAATCATAATTTAAGTCTTGCCTGTAAATTTGCAAGTCTTGTCTCCATAGCTTTAGCTTGGTTCTTTGATAGATTAAGGGTTTGTGCAAAGGACACCGTCTTTGCCTTTTCCAAAGCCTGGTTGTTCTGGAGTTCTTTCAGCCATCTTTGAACTTGCATGATTTGCGATTGCATTTGATTCTTAAAACAAAATAACAATAATACCATAGTCCATAGATAAAAAAAAATGTTTTGTAAGAGCTGAAAGCCTATAGTTATGGTGGCTTATTCATAAAACAAGAAACTGATATTGAATTTTAGACTTATCCTGGGGGCAGGATGGAAACAAAACATCATCGATTTATTAAAAAAATTCAATGAAAGTCAATAAGATCAATAAATTAAGATCAATAAAAATTTATCTTCCGTTTCTAACTCGGCTTTTACCATTCAACTGGCTAATACGTCCCTATTCCTAACCTTAGGAATATCGCAGGTATAGCGGACGAAGTGTACATATAGATCGTTTTTCAAAGTTTTTATAATTATTTTGTTATTATAAACAAATTACTAGGAAAACCGATTTCAAATATTCAGTAGTGGAGGATGAAATCCATTACTATAGAAGACTTTGACTAATATCATTTTCAAATTATTGAGTCCTATGAGGCTCGATATGCCAGCAAACGTTTGATATGACGCCACTATGTGGTATTGTTCCTAGATTGCTAGTTAATTTTCAACAGATCACGTGCCCAGCTAAAGTCACACTGATGATATCAATGTGAAATGAGACGGTGTTGGAGACATGGCCGCATAGGCAGATATAGTTAGTCATTCACGTTTTTGCTGCCTGGTCGTACACAAAATAAAATTGTTTTCGTTATTTATAACAAAATAAAACAAGTATTTCTCACCTTGAAATGTTCCAATTCTGCAACGCCTACGGAACTGAAAGTACCCAATGAAGGTGGTGATGGCCCGGGCATAGAAGAAACACGGCTCGAGCCTGGTTCATCCGGCTAAAAGAGGTTAGTAAAGGTAATTAAGATGAAAATGAAAAAGAAGAATGAACAGGAATAAAAAAATAGAATGTGCAGAATGTAAAAAATAAATAAAACGCTATAAATAAAACGCTAACAAATTTAAGAAGTTACTTAAAATAAATGAAGCTCGAATTGTTCAACAGGAGGGAAGAAAATGTAAAAGAACTATATCACCATGTCGTATTGACCCTATATAGCCTGTTAATGCTCGAAAAGATGAAAAAGAAGTAAACAGGGCTAATGAAGAGGAGAGATGGATAAAGGGATTTTGTTTCCCAAAGGGTGTATCCCCAAAGTTTTGACTTTATTGTTCATTTCCTTAACATTTGTTAATAATCAATCAGTCTTTATGGTATGGTTGTAAACACAGGTTCGTTTTTGTGGTCAGTTTTTATTCATCCGTATTTCCGAAAAGCCGTCGCATACCTCTGGCTATTTATTCATTTTATGCATTTAAGTTCAGCTGCGTTTACTAAAATCAGTTCAGGAAAATCCCGAGATAGACAAAACTAACATTATCTATTAATTCTTCTAAATGAGCGACGGATGAATAATTTTATTATTGTAAAAACATGTGAAGCAGATTATAATCGCCAACTCCCAAACACACATTCGAAATAAGTATCTAAAATTTGCATCAGTAAACTTTCCCTAATGTCAAAGATTGGCAAACATCCTTTGCTTTGTATAAAAGAATAAAATAGGCTTATCATGGTATTGGTTGTATAATTTTTAAAGTAATTAAAGTAAGAAGTAATAATAAATATTCTGAAAATATGAAATGAAAAAGTGGAGAAGTTTGTGGAACTTCTCCGATTGCTGATTTCAATTCAACACATTGTCAAGCATTGAAACTTGAAAGAACGGGGATTTTTTTGTGAAGGGAAAGGCAGAATCAGTTATGCGTCTAGAATGGTGGCCCCCTCCAACTGATCTGTGGCCTCTTGGTTGGCCCAAGCTCATCGTTGTTCTAGCCGGTTAATTGAGGTTGCTGATTTACAATTCAAACCAGTTGCACATTATTACATTTGGTGCTATTTAGTCCCTTTTTATCCTATTTCTCACATTCTCGGAAATAAAAATCAATGATGCTTAACTGCGAGCTTTACATTTCAAAAGGGGGGTTCCGACTGGCAGCCTTTTTGCCCCTGGGTACGCACTTGAGCTAGGGATCCATAAAAGGTTAAATGGTTTAAGTGCATTTTATGCATAGTGATGGAGGAATGAAGATTTCAGAAATGGGGTAAAGGAGGAATTTAATGAAAAAAAGTTTAGGAAACAGTTTGCTTGAATTCATATCTAAACAAAATCACTTCTTATTAAATTGATGAATAAACTTTTTCAAAATAATATTCTAAATTCCTAATAAAATTTCACTTCAATAATTCAACCTTTCAACTCGCCAATATAAACGTCGGCTACTTTAAGCATTTGTAAGGTAATTTATAGTAAAAATTACGCATGGTGTCTCATTTTTTCCACGAAGCATTTATTTTTTGATTGCAACTTACCTGAAAACGTAAATCCATCTCTTCAAGCTTGACAACATATGTTCCTAATTGTCTTTTCAACGCTTCGAACGTTTCATTCATGTTGTCTAGAAATAGTAATTATTTATTATGATTCGAGCTTCCTCAGAGTTTAAAACTTATCCACAAAAACAAGTAATATGTATCGTTACATTTTCTCATGATTATGGATATTTTGAGTCTTGGTCATTTTTCCGTATTTTCCGTATATGTATGATTAGTTTCAAAAATGTAGTATACGCTCATTGCCACTTACTAAAGGGACAACCAATTTCAGATTTCCAGTACTTAAATATACAAGAAGTCACTAGTCTAATAATTTTATTTTTCAAATTTTTCCTGCGTTCAAATGGGGCACGATATTTCATAAAAAAAATATTCATGGGATTTATGTTCCTATACATAAATTATAAATTCATTACGTGTGTAGGAATAGTCAAACATATACTTGCTTCAGATGCATGGGCGAAGCGAACGCGTTTTCTACGCATTTCTCGTCCACCGATTGTTTTGTCAAATTTTGTGCTCTTACAACCAAGTCGTACATAAGTAATCTAAGACCATGATTCGTTCCCATCAATTGGAGTATTGCCATTTTGCATACCCGGTGCACTTCTCGTTTGGTTGGATGTTGTTTTTCTCCAATCTTTCCAGAAAAGTGCATTTATGCCGTACGGTACATGTAACGGTGAGAAGTTAGTGTCAATACATGCAAGCATCGCACTGTGACTCACCTGGCAAACTGATATTCGCACTTGCACCTCCACCTCCTTCAGAACGTTCATGTTCTTCTACTTGTCTCATTAAATTCTCTGCGGTTGTTTTCACGGCAGCGAGATCCACTCCCATAGCCTCAAAGAGTGTCTGTGTTGTTGCATTTTTATCTGTTGCTTCTTCTTGTAATTTTTTATTTGTGTCGGCTTGCGCTGCAACAATTTTCTGTTCATGGAGGAAGGCATAATTGTGAAAAATTAAAATCACATTATTAATCATGAATCAGAGGTTTGAAATGCGAGCAAGTTTTGTCTCGCTCGTAAATACTACCATCCAAAAACTGAACTTTCATCCCTGCTAAGAATAATTTATCTTTACTAGGTGCTTGTCTATAACCCTCCTTGGTTTTAAATTTGAGTTTGACTTTTTAAAAGACAAAACTCGAATGTAATGGCGTCGAAGATGATACCCATCGGATTAATCAGCCCTTGCCCACGATAAACTTAAGTAAAACAAAATGAATATGAAGAACGAGACGTGTATTATCCTAAACCTAATAGATCTTTTCACATTAGGGGTTTGAATTTTCATTATTTTTTTATTTAAGTTTTTTTATTTTAACCTTAAACTTTGATTACGAATGTGTCAAAGACGAAAACATACAAGTGTGTTTTAATGTACTTTGGTTGCTCGTTTTTCTCGTGTTTCTGTGAGTCTAAATTATATAAACATTAAATCATAATTTAAGTATTACCTGTAAATTTGCAAGTGTTTTCTCCATAGCTTTAGTTTGGGCAAAGGACACCGTGTTCGTCTTTTCCAAAGCCTGGTTGTTCTGTAGTTCTTTAAGCCATCTTTGAACTTGCATGATTTGGTTTTGGATTTGATTCTTAAAATAAAATAACACGGGGTCAATGGTTATTCTATCACGGAAGCCGAAAGACCTATATGATGACTTAGTTATACAGCAAGAAACTGAGATTCGATTTTAGATTTATCCTGGGGTCAAAATAGGAAGAAACAGCATCGAATAATTGAAAAAAATTACACGGACATTCCTATGACGAATTTTGCTATCTCAGGTTTATTCGTCTGTTTTTCGAACAATCCTGGTAGTCGGCTGGACCTTTACCTATGTAAAGCTAATGAGATTAAATAATTATGAGAAAAAAAAATGCGATTGGCGTTTAGATTCATTTTGGAAGAAAGAAAATAAGCACAAAAAAGCCTAAAAGCATAAAAATAGAATACACGATTTTCTACATGTTCTTAGTATTCAATATTTTATTTTTCAACCTGTCTATGTAGCAGCTAAATAGCCCTCTATCAAGAAGGTCATTTAGCGGAAGATTGGAGACTTTATATCTATTCATATTTCTACACGGTAGCCCAATAGCCTTTGGCGTATACGTCATTCAAATGACCATTAGCAATCGACACAGCCATTATTATTCTAAAATTGCTGTCTCCTATATAAAATTCGAATAGCCCTCTATGGAGGAGGTCATTCAAACGAAAACTAGGTTCAATATACATCCCCATTGCTTAACTAGATATGTCACCAAACGTTTGATAGCACATATGGCGCCACCATGTGGTATTGTCCCTAGATTGCTTGTTAATTTTCAACAAATCATGTGCCGTGCTAAATCCTTACTGATATCTATGTTAACGGTGGTGGAGACATGGCCGCATAGGCAGATGTAGTTAGTCCACCATGTCAATATTTAAGATTTGCTCTCTGGTTGGACACAAAATATACATTTGAACTGTTTTCCTGAATTGTTTTTGTTGTTCATTAAAGAATAAAAAAAAAGTATTTCTCACCTTGAAATGGTTCGATTCTGCATCACCGACGGAACTGAAAGTACCCGTTGAAGGTGGTGATAGCCCGAGCATAGGAGAAACCCGGTTCAGACCGGGTTCACCCGACTGAAAAAAATTAGTGAAGGTAAATAAGATGAACAATACCTATGAACGGGAATAAAAAAAAAAACTCGCAGAATGTGAAAAAAAAATAAATAAATCGCTATCGAAAATTCGCACATTGAACAAAAAAAAATCGGCGCAGAATAGGTAACGGACATAAAAAAAGATTAAAAAAATAAAAAAATTCAAGAAGTTACTTAAAAAAATGAAGCTCGAAATATTCAACAGGAGGGAGGAAATGTAGAAGAACTATAGCGCCATCATGTGGCGTTGTCCCTAGATAGCCTGTTAATGATCAAAAAATTGAAAAAGGAAGTAAATAGCATTAATGAAAAGGAAAGATGGATAAATGGATTTTGTTTCCCAAAGGGTTATCTCAAAAGTTTTGAATTTATTGTTCATTTCCTTAACATTTGCTAATAATCAATCAGTCTTTATGGTATGGTTGTAAACACAGGCTCGTTTTTGTGGTCAGTTTTTACTCACCCGTATTTCCGAAAAGTCGTCGCATGCCTCTGGCTATTTAGTCATTTTATGCATTTAAGTTCAGCTGCGTTTACTTAAATCAGTTTCGGAAAAACCGAGATAGACAAAATTAACATTATCTATTAATTCTTCTAAATGGGCGACGGATGAATAATTTTATTATTGTAAAAACATGTGAAGCAGATTATAATCGCCAACTCCCAAACACACATTCGAAATAAGTATCTAAAATTTGCATCAGTAAACTTTCCCTAATGTCAAAGATTGGCAAACATCCTTTGCTCTGTATAAAATAATAAAATATGCTTACCATAATATGGCTTCTGTATATTTTCAAAATTATTAAAGTAATAATAAATAGTCTAATCTGAAAACAAGAAATGAAAAAAGGAAGAAGTTTGTGGAACGTCTCTGTTTGCTGATTTCAATTCAACACCTTTTCAAGCATTGAAACTTGAAAGAACGGGAATTTTCTTGTAAAGGGAAAGGCAGAATCAGGTATGCGTCTAGAATGGTGGCCCCCTCCAACTGATCTGTGGCCCCTTGGTTGGCCACGTGCCCCCTCGAAATGTATGTGGCCCCGCTGTTCTAGCCGGTTAATTAAGATGGCTGATTCATAATTCAACCCAGTAATGTAATTGACTTACCATAGCCCTTATGTTCATTAATAGAATATATCGGGCACTAGCTTGAGGTCTCGCGCTGTCTTTCAATTCAATAGCAGTAGCAAAATCTTTTATGTAGTGAAACATCTCGTAAAGACTTGATGCATAGCAATCTACATTTTCTCAATATCTTATGCACATTCGTCTCATCCCCGATTTGTGAACGGGAATTTGCTGTTGATATGATATAAATATTATGAAAAAGCATTTATATGGAATGCGGAATTGCGCATTGAGAAATTAGGAGCTATTCAAAGTCAATATTCAAACTATCTCTCCCTACCTCAAAAACACAAATCAATGATTGGCTACTTTGACTAGCTAAAATGCGACTGGCGCACAACCAAGCCATGTAGTCAGTCAGGCTTCATTTAATTAGAAGTGTTACATTTTAGAACGGGGGTTATGACGTGACTTTATTCATCTGAATGAAATCTATTTTTATTGAGTTGATAAAAGAACTTTTTCAAAATGTTATTCTAAATTACCAAGGTGATTTTCACTCCATAATTCAACCTTTTGACTAGCCATTTCAACGTACCTTAAGCATTTGTACGGTGATTTATAGTTGAAACTATAGGCATCCGTATTACGAATGGATTTGAAAAATAAACGGAATCATATTCAAATAATATAATAACAGAGGTGAGAGGAATGAAATAGTTTAAATATATAGTATGAAGCTGGATTTTATGGTACTCCCTAGCGTATGTACCAGGTTAGGGTTATGCCCTAATTTTATTTCGATTTTCTTTATTTTAGTTTTGTTACGAGTTCGGGGACTGTCTGTGTTAGCCAAGTAAATATACCCCCTGCCCATAGGTTTCAATCCCTTTACACGACTTGATGTAAAGTACCCAAACAAAATTAGTTACCTCCATATTGGTACACACACACCTCTGGAGCGCCCAATTTAATACTTTCAATATACATTACGTACTGTAGGCGCGCAGTCGGTCAGTGGCAAATTATCCAACGCTATTTGTGTTTAGATCGCATTGACAAACGGTATGAACATTTGATACCAACGCAAAGCTCAATCATTTGTGACGTAATTTGTGGATGGTGTGTCTGTGCTAGCCAAGTAAATATACCCCCTTCCGAACAAAATTACTGCAGTTACCTCCATATTGGTACAGACACTTTGAATTGCCGATTTCATACCTTCGATATACTCCATATACACGCGCAGCTGGTTAGTGGCAAATGATCCAACAATAGTCTTGTTTGGATCGCATTGTCTAACAATATGGGCGTTTGATACCAACACAAAGCTTAATCATTTCTTTCCGACAGTATCGGTACAATTCAACAGGTATAACCCTGTTTACCTCACTCTCTGCCCTACACACGCTTGCTGTTACTTGGAAGCATCCATGGAATATATATATATATCGCAAGATGACAGCGCTGACCAGGTGTGCCGCCGAAAACAGAAAGCCATTATCAAGAATACATTTATGTAGTCCCATTTGCACTATATAACCTAATAAACATAGGCGAAAATCAAATATAGCTTCTCTAAAACTATAGGAATAGGTAAAGCTATTCTCCATAACACAATGTTATGCCTCAGTCAGTCCGTGTGACTAGGTCGGTCACAAATCGAAAAGGATGCTATATGTACAGTTTCTCAACAGAATACCAGGGAACCCCCGAGTACACGCTGAGTAAAATCACCAAGTACTGTTGCGCAATACGTGATAACAAATGTCCGCGCACGACGAAGCGCTCCACGATATACAGAAGCGTGTTGCAATATTACATGGATTTATATATATATATATATATCTATATTCTGTTCTTACATAAAGTTGCGATTTGTACCAAGGGACATATCATCTCGCTATACAACACGAATACATTGCAATAGCCATGGCATAAAATAAACCGCAAAATTACTTTTATTTGAATTCAAAATACAACCAGACCCGAATGTAAGTGAAGCCAGCCCATAACTCAAAGATGTCAAAAACAAGATATATTCATTAAATTTAATTTATTACGCTAACCGTATTGAGGAAAGTATTTATAAAACCTAATAAAATTGTGTCACCCTTTTTCGTATGCTTTATTTTATTAAACAGTCCAGAATGCGAGGGTGACCATAAAATTTCACCCTTATCTGATTCAAGCTAAGCTACAATTTTTTAGTAATTAAACTAGCAAAATATACTGGTGAATAATATACGCTCACGATTACGCTTGTTCCTTATCGGATAACATTAAGTTTTATACAACTATATACGATTTATAGTACTAAGTAATTTTTCACTTTGATCTTTTGTACAAAATAAAAACAAAATATACTGGTGAGTAATATACGCTCACGATTACGCTTGTTCCTTATCAGATAACATTAAGTTTTAAACAACTATATACGATTTATAGTGCTAAGTAATTTTTCACTTTGAATCTTTTGTAAAAAATAAAAACAAAATATACTGGTGAGTAATATACGCTCACGATTACGCTTGTTCCTTATCAGATAACATTAAGTTTTAAACAACTATATACGATTTATAGTGCTAAGTAATTTTTCACTTTGAATCTTTTGTACAAAATAAAAACAAAATATACTGGTGAGTATTATACGCTCACATTACGCTTGTTCCTTATCGGATAACATTAAGTTTTAAACAACTATATACGATTTATAGTGCTAAGTAATTTTTCACTTCGAATCTTTTGTACAAAATAAAAACAAAATATACCGGTGAGTATTATACGCTCACGATTACGTTTTTACTTATCGATTTTAATCGGTAAGTATGTTGATAGGTATTTGTCTGTCTGTATGTATGTATGTCTGTTAGATGCACGCAATATCTCACGAAGGCGTGGTTGAATCTCCTCCAAATTTTGCATGTGCATTCATCATATCTCATACCAGTAGCTTATTGATTTTGGATGAATTATGTCGTATAATTAGCGAGTTATTAATTAATTAGTGATGAAGAGATCTGGATTTTACAAAGCGAGAGATTTTCGAGACGCGCTGAATGTGTGTGTGCGTGTCCGATGCGCAAGTTTTCACACTAGTGAGTCAGAGCGAAGGATACACACCGCTAGATCGTATCTCGTGATTAATCTTCAAGCATTGTCCATATCTCTCTTGTAACTTTGACGTCGTCGCGATGCGCAAGTTTCCTTCGAGAAATTTTCCACGCTATTGAGTCAGATCGAAGGATACACGCCGCGAGATCGTATCTCGTTACCTATAATTACTCTGTAAAGTTTAAGCAATGTCCATATCCCTCTATCAGGTTCGGGGTTGCAGAATTCCTCCCCAAAATATCGTTAGGCTGTGTTTGAATAGCCGTCGCAACCCGGGTTAGCGCCGTTGTATTTGACACAAAATATAGAATTGGTAAATAGGCTATTGGTTGGAAACTGATCGAAACAATCCAGTTCGGATTTGCAGAATTCTTCAGAAAAGTATTTCCTCGAGTAGTATTCCGACGACGATATGGGGAGTTGGCTATTGTTTCCTACATTTTTGATATTGGCTGAAAACTATTCAAAACAATCCAGTTCGGGTTTGCAGAATTTTTCGAATCGAAACCGCAGTTTCTGTTTTGGGGATCCCCTAACTTTCGATCGATAAGTCTTCGGTCTCTGACCGATATTCTCGTTTACTTTATCAGTTAATATTAAGTGTTATACAACTATATACGATTCATAGTACCCTTTGGATCTTTTGTACAAAGCTTCAGGCAGAATTCACCGCCGCCAACGATTAAAACAAAAATATTATAGTAATTAATTGTCTGTTTGTCTGTCTGTCTGTCTGTTTGTATATTTGTATGTTTGTCTGTTTGTCTGTTAGATGAACGCGATATCTCACGACGGCGAGCTTAAATCTGCCCCAAATTTTGCATGTGCATTCATCATATCTCTGACCAAAAGCCTATTGATTTTGGATGAATTATGTCGTATAATTAGCGAGTTATTAATTAATTAGTGATGGAACACGCGGTGTTGCTAGAGGTTCAGAGAGAATTACAATGCCCTCTCTGAGGATGCGATCGAAACCGCAGTTTCTGTTTTGGGGGATCCCCCTTTTCGTGCGATTGTGTGTGTGTGCGCAACACTTCTCTGTCTGCGATGCTGAGCGTTTGGTTAGGTATGTTGGTTACACGCCGCTTAGTTAGATGCTTAATTAGATGTGTTACATTTTTGAACGGGGGTTATGACGTGACTTTATTCATCTGAATGAAATCTATTTTTATTGAATTGATAAAAGAACTTTTTCAAAATGTTATTCTAAATTACCAAGATGATTTTCACTTCATAATTCAACCTTTTGACTAGCCATTTCAACGTACCTTAAGCATTTGTACGGTGATTTATAGTTGAAACTATAGGCATCCGTATTACGAATGGATTTGAAAAATAAACGGAATCATATTCAAATAATATAATAACAGGGGTGAGAGGAATGAAATAGTTTAAATATATAGTATGAAGCTGGATTTTATGGTACTCCCTAGCGTATGTACCAGGTTAGGGTTATGCCCTAATTTTATTTCGATTTTCTTTATTTTAGTTTTGTTACGAGTTCGGGGACTGTCTGTGTTAGCCAAGTAAATATACCCCCTGCCCATAGGTTTCAATCCCTTTACACGACTTGATGTAAAGTACCCAAACAAAATTAGTTACCTCCATATT